ATTAAACAGAGGAAGCCTAATTCTATCAAATATAATCGTTTTTATGAAATGTGCTTATTTTGTATTTACATTTTTAATTTTCTTCACACAAAAAATATGAAAAATGTCAGTATTTTATGTATTGATTATGAATAGTTTTGTCATTAAACATCTGGAAAAGAAAAAAAAAAACATGAAAGGCCTATATTATATATGTATTGTCTTGCTTGACTTGCCGGAAAGTCTTGTAATATAACAGTGCTGGTCCTTTATAAATGGTGACATGCAAAAGGGAGGAAATAAAGTCATCTAAAACTTAACTGTTTCTTATTTTGAGGCACATGGCTGGTGCATCCATGCATAGGCATGTGCAAAAGTTAAATTAATGTAATGATATAACAGAATCATTTTAATATCTACAACAGTGTGTGCATTGGAACACGTGGGCTGCAATCTGAGTTCTGGTTGCCTCACCTAAAAAAGGATATTGTTGAGTTGGAAAATGTTCAGCAAAGGGCAACCACAATTATCAAGGGGATGGAATGACTCTCCTATGACAAAAGGTTGCAGCTTTGGGACTTTTTAGTTTAAGGGACAAAGCGAGTAAGAAGGGACATAAGTGATTATGGGATGGAGAAACTGGAGAGAGAGAAGTTTTTCTCCCTCTCTCATAAAGTGAGACATTGGGGCCACCCACTGAAGCCAAATGCTAGGAGATTAAGGCAGATAAAAGAAAGTACAGTCTCACAGAAGGCAACTTGGGTGGCTTTAAAAGATAATATGGAGAAGGCTATTAATGGCTACTAGCCATGATGTCTATGCTTTGCCTCTGCAGCTGGAGGCAGCGATGCTGCTGAATCCTAGCTGCTGGAAACCACAGGAGGGGAGAGGACTCCTGTGCTTGGGTGCTGCTTGCAGGTTTCCCACAGGCATCTAGCTGGCCACTGTGAGAACAGGATGCTAGACCAGTTAGGCACTTGGCAAGCTCTTATTATTTTTTTAACCCCATCAACCAGGTAATAAGCCTCACTGAACTCAACAGGATCTATTTTTCAGTAGACATGGTTAGGATTGCACTGTTGGCTAGGCTTACCACTCACTGCAGCTGGTTGCCTTAATTCACATTCTCTTCCCAAGCATACAATAAAGTCATTACTTCAATTTGCTGAGGTAAGCCCTACATATAGGGAGACAGCGGCAAGACCAGTAGAGGCGACAGGAAGCTGCATTGCTCAAGGCAGATGAAACAATCAACTGTGGCTAAAACCCAACAAGTGTTCTGCAAACCCCTTTCACATCACGACTTTGCGCCATGGTTTGCAGTCAATGCATAGCCATGGTTTAAAGTGTCATAACCTACCACAGCCAAAGTTAAGGAAAACAAACCATGGTTAAGCATGAATGCATGTATGCAGCCTTAGCCTCCAGTTCTCCAGAAACTAACAGGAAGGTTGGTTTAGTTCAGGGATAGCCCTTTTGTATCATTAGGGGGCAATTCAGATGGGGCACACAATACATCACAACACAAGAGTTCATAGTGAAAAATCTGGCCATTTCTTCAGAACAAAAAAAATATGCTCACTGGGTGGCCGTATCTTTTAATCTGGTGTGCACTGGTCCCTAATCTCCCATAGAGCTCCAGAGAAGCTGCTCCTCTATCCCCATCTGTTTGACCAGTACTTTTACAAAGAGTTGTTTGTGGATAGAAGACCAACACCTGCAGGTTGTAACTGGATAAGGCAGGCTGGCACCGCATGATCCCAATCCCGTTACAACATGCTGCTTGAACATAGGAAGCTGCCTTCTACTGAGCAAGACCACCGGTCCATCTAGCCCAGTAAGGAAATACAGTGGTGCCTCAGGTTAAGTACTTAATTCGTTCTGGAGGTCCGTTCTTAACCTGAAACTGTTCTTAACCTGAAGCACCACTTTAGCTAATGGGGCCTCCCGCTGCCGCCGTGTCGCTGCTGCACGATTTCTGTTGTCATCCTGAAGCAAAGTTCTTAACCCGAGGTAATATTTCTGGGTTAGCGGAGTCTGTAACCTGAAGCGTATGTAACCTGAAACGTATGTAACCTGAAGCGTATGTAACCCGAGGTACCACTGTACACTGACTGGCAGTAGGTCTGCAGGGTTTCAAACAGGGAGAATCTCCTAGCACTGCCCGGAGATGCCATTGGGGATTGAACCTTTGACCGTCTGTGTGCAAAGAAATTGCCCTGAGCTACAGCCCTTCTGTGCACAGGGCTCAAGTCTTGTCTGAATAACCTTGAGTTTGTATCCAGAAATGACAGAATGGTCGATGAGGGGAGGCTCAGATGCAGCTCAGAGCTCAGAGCTCTGCTCAAGCTCAGAGGTAGGGCACCTGCTTTGCATGTAAAAGGCCCAAAGTTCAATCTCCAGCTTTAAAAAGGGATCAAGTAGCACGGCGTGGGAAAGAGACTGCTCTGTAACTGCATCTGCCAGTCAGAGTAGAAAATGATGGGCTAGGAGGACAAATAATCGGACCAGACAGAAGGCAGCTTTCTGCACTGTCCAACATGGAGCTTTCACTAGAAGCGATCAGAAAACTCCATCAAAAAGGCAATTATCTGAACGGATGTACTGACGACAGCCATGCAGAAGCCTGGTTTCCCTGGAAATGAGAGCTATGGGCAAAGTATCTGCTTTGTAGGAACTGGGTGCACACAAAAAGCAGGAATAGGCGGCGGCTGAATGATTAAGCTGACCTAAAGCAGCAGGAGCAGCATATTCTAGTTAGTTGGTTTTTGTGGGGAGGAAAGGTTGGGTACTAATCCAAAAGAGAGACCGGTAAATTCATGCCTTTAGTTACCTCAGTAATAAAAGTCAGAGGCTGTCTAGGCTTGGAGGAGGGAACTCTGGAAATAAACCCAGGCCAGTGTGCTTGTGAGAGGCTGCGGAAAACCAGGACTCTGTTTGGAATGCAAATATTCCTTCGCGAGATGCTAAGGTAGAGAGGGGCAGAACTGGCAGCGAAAGCCTGACACGTGCCAGATCCTTGCTTTGCAGCTCCCACAACAGGTTACATATTGCAGCAGCCATTTCCATGGTTACCAGAAGCAGAGGATTCAGAAAGGGAGACCAGTTCTACATTATTATTATTTTTTAAAAAAACCCCAAACCACAGAGTTGTTTTCCCCCAGCGTGGTTCAAGGAAATCAGAACCGAAAAACAAAGCGAGAACTAGGATTAATATGCTCATCTCATAACTGAAAAAAAGGTGAAGTGGCAGTATCCCAGAGGTGCTAATAATGGGCCTATTGCTCACCTACACTACTCTGGGGCCAAATGAACCAGTGCATTCAAACAGCTTCCTCATAGCTGGTTTCGAGAGAGATGGGAGGGTGAATTCCCAGACACACAGAAGAGGCAGAACCTGCTATGCTAGCAGTTAACCCTGCCTGACCAGGGGCCCTCCATCTCAGCCAAATGTGCGTTGTTCCTGTTAATTATTGCTTGCATTTCTGCCCTGCATTCTCAGCCTAACAGGGCTCCCAAAGTGGACGTGAGGATGCTGGCAGTGTGGTATAATAATAATAAGGAGATGGGGCAAGTGGCCTCTCAGCCCCGTTAGGTGTGGAGAAAGTAGAGAGAGAGAAATCTTGCCAATCTATCCATTCAAAGATTGCCAGCAGATCCCTTGCTTCTTCCCACCTCTGCCTTCAAACACAGCAGCCTTGCCCTGTGGCAAAGCATCTCAGGTGAAGACTGGTCATGGTGATCTCAGGGAAGCTCAGCTTCCATTGCTAATCTTCTCACTGAGGGTATCTGACAAGCTTCTTAGCAAAGGCAGGTTTCTCCAGGATACACCCTGAAAGCCACTTGCTTACCCTTCTCATCTCACGCACGCCACCTAATTTCTGATTGATGCGGTTTCTGATTAAAAGCGTGCTGCTCAGTGATCCATCTTTCTACATAAGATGTGCAGGAAACACGGAATGTGCTTATAGCCTTTTGCTGCTTTAATTTGAGGTCTCCGGGCAACCAAATGCCTCAGCCATCAAAGCACCGTGCAACACCCAAATGTAGTTCTTCTTTTGGAACATTCGGAAGGCTGCAAGCTTAGCTGCCCCAGAAGGTTGTTCACCGCCATACCACTGGGTTTTGAGATTTCATTAGGCCCTACCCACAGTAAAAAGGCAGGTGCACAAAATATTCACAGCCTAAGACACAGCTTGCCTTTCTGAATGACAGACCAGCTTATCTTCACATCATCATGCTTGAAACATATGTTGTCGATATTTCCCCACATTTATTATGTTATTTTTGTGATATACGTATGACATGAGAAAACTTGGTATACTTATTTGTATAAGATTATTCTTGTTTATAAAACCCAATTATAATAATAAAAGGTATAAAGCAAATGGAGCCGTCAACAGGTTAATGAAATGCCAGTGGGTTATTAGCTTTAAACTGATTTGATTAAATTTGTAAATTTACATTAGAGCAAAACATTGCCTTTTGCAATATAAAAGCACACATTGTTTTTAGATGATTCATCTACCTGCCACTACCTTAGATGTGCTATTTTCCTCCTACATATGAGAGAATGGGGAATGCTGATTTTATTAGCATTTCTACTGAAATGAGTTAAGAGTTTTTAAAAAAGTATTCTGATTGACTGGGGCAACTTTCTATAGTTTTACTCAAAAAGTGGTTAGCAGAATAGATTGTTTTTATTGATGCATTTATTTTCTTACATTTATATCCCTCCTTTCTTCCAAGAAGCTCATCAGACTAAGGCCTGCTAAAGTTCAACAAGGTGCCTTCAGACCATACCTATCTAGACAATTGATCAAGAAAACACTGCAGCTCTAGATTTCAAAATATACTGCTGCAAACATTCAAGGTTGAAAATGCTTTCAGCATTTCTATTATGCTTCCTGAATGCTCCATGAGGTCTATTTTTATTAAAAACAATATTTAGTTTGGATTATGCTTTGCAAACAAGGAAACGAACCTTTTGTTAGCTGCATGGTTACATCATTCTTAAGCTCAACATAAATTGCAGTCCCCAATATTCCTGCCCAGCTGTTTCTAAGACTGAGAGGTGGATAAGCTAAGGAGGTGCATTTGATCTCCCAGGACGAGGATCCGAAGGGGAAAAGAGAGAGGTATGGAATTTGACACTGTGATATAATTGCCTCATTTTGAACATGATAGTACCTGCTCCTTTGATTTATTTATTTTTTGTCTGCTTTCCAACTTTCTTCCAAGGGCACAATAATCACAACATTGGGACTGGTGCATTAGATCAGTGGTTCCCAAAGCTTATTCTCCACAGACCACTTGAACATTGTTGAGGGTCCTGGTGGACCACTTAATTTTTTTTATTTGTTATCTGCCTGATGTTGCAACTGTAATAATATTTGGGGTGAGATTTTGATTTATTGCACAGTGCCCAGAAATAATGAATGCTTCTGCATCTCCGTTTTTATTTTAACAACTGAGTGAGTCTATAATAAAAGCTGAAATTCTAAAGAATCTAAATTCTAAAGAATCCCAAAAGTCAATGAAGGAACTGGAGGGCCTTCTCAGTAGTGGCACCCTCCCATCAGATGTCAAGTAGATAAACAGCTATACAGCATTCAGAAAACATCTGAAGGCAATCCAGTATAGGCAAATTTTTGATGTTTTACTGTGTTTTTATATTTTGTTGGAAGCCAGCCAGAATGGCTGGGGCAACCCAGTCATATGGTTGGGGTATAACAAGAAACAAACAAACAAACAAACAAACAACAATAATAGGGACTTGTGAGATTCCCTCTTCTAATTATGTACAGTGGTACCTCGCAAGACGAATGCCTCGCAAGACAAAAAACTCGCTAGACGAAAGGGTTTTTTGTTTTTTGAGCTGCTTCGCAAGACGATTTTCCCTATGGGCTTGCTTCGCAAGACGGAAACGTCTTGCAAGTTTGTTTCCTTTTTCTTAACACCGTTAATACAGTTGCGACTTGACTTCGAGGAGCAACTCATAGAATGCGGTGTGGTAGCCTTTTTTGAGGTTTTTAAAGACTTTGGTGATTTTTGAAGCTTTTCCCAAAACTTTCCCGACACCGTGCTTCGCAAGACGAAAAAAATCGCAAGACGACAAAACTCGCGGAACGAATTAATTTCGTCTTGCGAGGCACCACTGTAGTTCTTTGGCTCTCATTCTAAGTTGGGGGCCCAGGAAATAAAGCATACTTAGAGGAAAGCAGGGGCTGGGCTTGGGTCAAAAACTTCCAATAAAGTGTATTAAAAGACAGCATCAAAAGCAACAAGATTTGGCCCGCTTAGATCTCATTTTTTTCCGATGATGTTGTGTGGCATGCAAAACAATGAACCTTTGCTTTGATATTGCTATATCCAAGGCCCAATTTACATCACTTTTTAAAAAGTCACCTGGGATAGACATCTCAGTGGTAAAGGTGCACCACATGCTTGGCAAAATCCAAAAACAAGATCTCATGAGCCCTGAAGGTGACTTTGTGAAGGAGGCACAGTTGGATGGCTTAGTTTGAGCAGCCAGCAAGCCATTTACAAAGACAACTGTGAGTTATACATTAATTGTATTGTATTGTTCTTCTCTACCAGAACCCCAGGTGCAGGATGCAGTTCGGTCCACACTCCATCTTTATCCTAATGCTCAGTGGGCTTCACTTCATTAACTGTGAGCCAATAGCAAAAGACTCACCCACTACCTTCCAGAGCACCACCAGCACATCCACTCCTGGCTCAGCCAACACCCCCTCTACCCCCTCTACTCCTGGCCCAGTCAGCGACATGGCCACATCACCCGCCAACACCACCAGCACGTCCACTAAAGGACTAACCAACAATGCCACTATGTTGCCAGCTAACAATGCTACTGCTTCTACTTCTGGCCAAGCTACCAACACAGCCAAAGTCATTCAAGGTCAAACCAACACCACCTCATCTTCTTCTGGCCAAGCTACCAACACAGCCAAAGTCACTCAAGGTCAAACCAACACCACCTCATCTTCTTCTGGTCAAGCCACCAACACAGCCAAAGTCACTCAAGGTCAAACCAACACCACCTCATCTCCTTCTGGCCAAGCCACCAACACAGCCAAAGTCACGAAAGATCAAATCAACGCCACTTCATCTTCTCCTGGACAAGCCACCAAGACCACAGCCAGCCAGAACAATGGCACTACAAGCGCTTCTCAAAAGAAAACAACCAGTATTGCTGTATTCCCAACTTCTTCCTTTTTGGGATTTGCATTGCTTGCCGTTTCTGTACTCTGCCTGTAAGGAAGTATTTCTCTGCTGTACATTGCCATCCTTGGAGGGGGAAAAGGCTTTCCTCTTTCCACTGTTAACTGGTGTGCGAGTAAGCTCTTTGAGACGTTTCACCTTCTATTTGAAATATTCTACAAATACACCAATCTTTCACTGAAAGATCGAGCAAATCCAACACTGAAGCTAGAGGATTGTGAGACTGTGGTGGGGACAGGGCAGCTTTTATCTAATCATGGCACATATTCATAAACTATGTAAGCTCTGGGAAGGCTGGAGTTACAATTGATTTACATTGTTGGATATGTGAACAACAGCTCACTTGCAGCCATGGGTTTTCAATGGTCCAGACCACAATTTCTAGCTTTGCTCCCCAAATTGAGGATCATGATCGGTTTCATTCCAAGCAAACCATGATTGTGATGTCAAGGTTTGTTCTTTACTTCCAAGTCATGGTTTTGAGCAATCCCGGTTTTGGCTATTATGCTAGGTCAAGGATCGTAGCTTTTCTCCCACATGCTAAAAGTGGTTGAGATGCTTTTAACTATGATATGCAATCAAGGCCAATGTGAGCAAATAATAGTGAGCAAATAATGAGCTGTGAGTAAATACTCTCTGCTCCTAGCAAAAGAGCTAGTGCCTTCCAAACACTCCCTTCAATCTTCCTTAATTCTGTGATGGAGCACCAGGAGGCAAGAACTAAACTGGGTTCCCTTCTATCTATCTCGTGGTGCATGGGAGACTTAAGGTGTATCATTTGCTGTGTTGATTTGGGGGGCAATGGAAGTGGTCCCTGGGCCTCCTTCCCTCGGCACACTTGAAGCCTACTGCACATCTATGCAATCTGCCTCTCTACATTTTTGTTTTACCCAACTAACCCTATGATCGGATCTAGAAGAGTCACTGCCAAGACAACCTTGCTCTATCTCTAGGCATGCCCAGCCAGCAGTTTCTTGCAACAGTCGCTTACAGCGCCCAACCAGAAGGAAGACGGTGAAGCATCCTATGGAAATGGACAGGTAGCTGTTCCCCCAGGATTCCACCAAATTTATTGACAAAAGCCTATCATGAAGACTGTGACATCTCTGCTGGTCTCTGCAAATGGTCTGCAGCCCCTGCATGGACCATCCTGCATGGACCATGTGAAGGAAGAGGGAAGAGAACAAAATGTGTCTCAAAGACCCCACTGCATCGGGAATGTAGAGGCCAGCAATACAGAAACAGTCCTGCATGGATCAAAGGCCTCAATAAGTTCTCTTTTATTTTACTTCAGCAAATCAAGAACTTCCAAGACCTCAGGTTGGAAATTTAATGCATTTTGACTGCTTCTGTTGTTAGCTTGTTCTGTAGAGGGGTGCTTTGTCTGCTTGCCTTTTTTTTTACAGTTTTATTAATTCTAAAAACACACAGAAACATATTTACACAAAATACAAACATTAACAAACACAAATTACGATTCCCCAGTTCTACCCAATTCATTTCTGATATACAAATTACCACTTTGTTATTTTGAGCATATCATGCAAAGCTTTAAGTTTAAGCATTTCCAACTGATCCCAATTTTTTTTAATCAATTTGGGTTTTGATTACAGTTCAATTATTGAGCAAGTAACATTTTTGCAAGTGTACTTACATTTAAAACAGTCTCTACGATGTCCTACCATAAGCACAGAGAACCTGTGGCTCTCCAGGCCCCATCATCCCTAGTCAAGAGCAATGCCGGCTGAAGCTCATGGGAGTCTGACTATCTGGAGGGCCACAGAATCCCTCTCCTTGTTTTATAATGCTGTGTTTTATTAATCTGAATTAGGGGAGATTGGGGTGGCTGAGTATGATGTGACAGCAACTAATTCAAATCGCACCAGACATCAGAGGACATGTCAAACACTATTCAGACATCATAACAGTGGTGGACTAGAAAGTTAAAAAGAAGATTAACTCCAGAGAAAGGTGGGGCGAAGATCCAGACCTCCTTTTTGAATTAGGGGCATATATGTTAATTTTTATTAGCAATTAGATCAATGTGTTCTACTGGGAAACAAGAGGGGATGAAGCCATGTGTAAGACAGATATAAAAGCAACCTGCCTAACGAAACGCTCCATTCAATGAAAGGGAAACAGCTGGTGGATCAGTCCCAAATGAATAACATGAAAAGTCAACAGGGATGGCATTCCTCACTGTTGATCCCTGGAGAAAAGAGAGCAGACAAGCTGGGCATTGAGTATAGGGGACATTCATGGGGAAAGAGTAGGTGATGTGCAGAATTTAGCATATGGTTGTTTTGGTGCCACTGTGAAATGGAGCCTGTGCCACTCCTTTTTACAAACAGCAGCTCAAGTTGCATCTGGCAGGTGTGGCAATTGATAGCGGTGAGATCTATAAGCAAGAGATGGATAGGAGAATTTCTATGCTATAGCACTGCCTGTAATGCCTTTCTACATGTTTGTTTTAACTGGCAGAAACAACAAATATGCCGTGTCGGACTGTATTTGCTTGCATTAAACATGGCCAAAGTGGATTTATTTTCTTCTGTCATTGACTTAAGCTTCCACATCCATGCAACCACAAAACAAACCACCTTTTGGGCTACGCTTCACAACTGATGACGTACAAAAAATTCTCTTGAGAAGAAACATCAGGGCCTGTACTCTTGAAAGGAGAGCAGCGATCAAATCACTGACCCTCCCCTCCTTTCCTTGTACATTAGACCTCGCTAAAACAGCATTTTCTCCCTTGCTAGAGACTAAAGTGATGCTTACACCAACCACATTCAACTGTGAATGTTCAGTCTCTTCCATTGATAGATGTTATCCAGAAGTCCCACTTGATTCAGGGGAAGGGCCCCAATATGGTGGATGTTTTGGACTACAATTCCCACCAGCCTCAGCCTGCATGACCAATGTTCAGGGATGACGGGAATTATGGTCTAAAACAGGGGTCAGCAAACTTTTTCAGCAGGGGGCCGGTCCACTGTCCCTCAGACCTTGTGGGGGGCCGGACTATATTTTGGTCAAAAAAATGAACGAATTCCTATGCCCCACAAATAACCCAGAGATGCGTTTTAAATAAAAGGGCACATTTTACTCATGTAAAAACACCAGGCAGGCCCCACAAATAACACAGAGATGTATTTTAAACAAAAGGGCACATTCTATTCATGTAAAAACACGCTGATTCCCAGACCGTCGGCGGGCCGGATTTAGAAGGCGATTGGGCCGGATCTGGCCCCCGGGCCTTAGTTTGCCTACCCATGGTCTAAACTCTAAAACATCTGAAGGGCACCAGGCTGGGCTATGCTGATTCCTCTGTGCTTGGTCCCCTTCAGTGGGAGGAGCTTCCCCCAAACCTCCAACAACTGGATGGCCATCTGTTATGGATGCTTTAGTCCAGATTCCTGCATTGCAGGGGGTTGAACTACAGTAGATGGCCCATGGGGTCCCTTCCAACTCTACAATTCTATGACTAACTCGGTCTGATGGGGGGAAGACAGCAATTTATGTGTGAAAAACCAGAAAGGAATTAGGCTTATGAGGCAGGGGTAAGCGTTCACACTAAATATGTACATTATTCCAGGCCACAGTGATATCCCCTTGTCTTAGCCTACAATGAGTGCTAGCTCTGGTCCATAAAACCCAACATTTCAAGTCATCATTTCAATAATATGCAAAACACTACAAGCTAATTGGCTGATTAGCACACACAAAAAGTTTCCCTTGCCAAACACGGATCCAAATACCAGAGTACTTGACATGCAGAAATGGGAGGCGTGATTTAAAGCAGTGTTCCAGGAAAGCGTCCACCATGCTCAACTTTTAACTGAAGCCAATCCAAACCAGCGGACCAGAGCATGATAACATTATCTGGCCTGTAGATGGGAGGATGCAGGATTTGTGAGCAAGTTCCAGCGTTTCAACAATGGCAGGAAGTTCTCCAAAGCAGTGACCATAGCACCAATAAAACAAAACAAGGCTTCCGCCTACACCCCAAGCGAAAGTTGCACGTAGACCTTAAGAAAGAAAGCAGCCCCTCCCGCCTGAGGAAATTATACGCCCACAAGAACGGCTGAAAGGCAGAAATAGAACTTAATTGTTGCATGCAAAGCAGCGGCATTACACCTCAAACACTTGCATGTGGAAGCCCTACTGTGGGAAGAGGGGTTGCAAGCGCATCTGTAGAGAGATCTTTAAAACACTCCAGTTCCTTAATAATTTTGGGAATGTATCCCATGTAGTCAGGCAACCAAAAGCATGAGACTCTTAATCTCGGGGTTGTGGGTTCGAGCCCAACATTGGGCAAAAGATTTCTACATTGCAGGGGGTTGGACTAGATGACCCTCGTGGTCCCTTCCAGCTCTACAACTCTATGATCCTACTTTTATGTTCTGGAGGGGCAGCTCAGGAGTTTCAAATGCATGCGTGAAAATTTAAAGAATGAATATGTGGAAGATTGTAAGCAAGTGCACTGTGTGCATACACATGCCCTAAAACATACATACATACATACATACATGCATACATATTAAAAAAAAAACATCCGATATGTGTTTCACTTGTCAGAATCTATGCTGGGAGTCTATCTGTATCTTGCAGGGAAGAAGCTGTCCTTTGTTCAATTTTGAGGGGCAAGAATGAACAAGGGAAAGTTCACTTGCCAGCTCCTGAAGTTGTTCAAGGTCTGGATTTCATTGGCTGTCCAGGATGAACCCACAGGGTACTGGACAGCTATTGAACCCTGCTATTTCACTAACTATTCAAAGGCATTTAGTTGCTTTGCAGAGATGCCAATGTACAGATCTCAAAAGATGCAATGCAGTATTTCAATCAATTCCAGCAAAAGCTTTATGAACTGTTGCTGCAAATAAACAAACAAAATAAAAAGAGAGATTTACTGAGGAGCTTGGGTGGCATAGCAGAAGCAGCTAACTGGAAGGCCTCTGAGGTTGAGAGTTGGAGAAGGAGGTTTCAGGGTGCTGCGATTTTAAAGTTAAGATCTTTATACCAACTGAAGAGAGGTGAGGTTTTAGGTGGGTGCGCCC